TTCTCCATTGCTAGTTGTGTACAACTAGATTTGAGATCAATATTGTACGAGATTGACAATATAATCTGCTCTTCACTGATATGATATAACTCAATTAGATCGTGGTTTAGACAAATTCCAATCAAAAGGTGATCTGATCCCTCATAAGAGATCCGACTTTCCTTAGATTGTCGATAGGGGCACCTTGTAAATTGTATATATAAGACCATTTGTTTATGTTTACATCATTTTATTATATTTAGGGAGTCTCTTTCAACCATTATGACACACCCAAAATTCCTTTTCTTATAATGATTTTCAATCCTTGCAATAGCGAATGAGTCTCAGCTTGGTTAGCTGTGGTAGATCCACAAATGAGTCTCAGCTTGGTTAGCTGTGGTAGATCCACAAGGGCCAACATAAGAGAAGATTATAGACCGTTCATGATTTCTTAAAATACCTATAATTCCAGCGAGTTCTAGGTTCCTAAAGGAGTTCCCATTAAAATTGAATTTGAGATAGCCCTCCGGAGGGGGTTTCCAAAAAGTGCGAGGTCTACAGTTGGGAGAATAGCTAAAAGCTAAACTCTTTATGTTAACAAAGATGTCTGCCCGGAGATTCCTTTGCCTTCATTGGTGATGGATAATCAATCCCAAAGGGTTTGTAAAATTCTATCCTTAGTGCATTCCAAATCTAAAGACACTCCCTCAAAGGTTCTCCTATTGCGTTCGAGCCAAATCTGCTGAAGAATTGCGCCTCTATAGATCTTCCAAATAAGAATTCTATTAGATGACAAACTTACTAGATTGAGATGGTTAACAATATTGATTAGATTTTATGGCAGTATAAGAGGAAAACCCAAATTTCGAAAGGCCCATTTCTAAATTTGTGAAGTAAAACATAGTGCAAGAAGAGGTGATCACCAGTCTCTTTGTCTTGCTTATACATTAGGCACGCATTGGATAGAATTTTGCTCTTCTTACAAAGATTATCAACTGTAGGATATCATTACTTTTAAAGGAGTATGTCATTTTCAAACTGCATGGAGAAGTCCATTGGACCATTTGACACGATCAAAGAATGGCAATCAGTAAGCTGACTTTATAGAGAAAAAACCATCCTCCTCACTTTCCCATATAACCTCATCTGAGCTATTAGATGAGATATAGACCTCTTCAAGTAGCTACAAAATACTTTGAAGCTGGTTAATAGCAAAATCTGACATCTATTATAGTTGCAGTTCCAAATTAGTCCTCATGAGGAAGATGATATTAATTTTGAAATTTTAGCTACGAGAGAAGAAACTCTCGCAAAAAGTTCAAGAAAATGGTATCAGAGGGGTCAATCCCCAAGCCACTTACTAAACAAATAGAAAATATCATTACTATTGCCAACCACCTATCTAGCTGTCACACCCCAAGAATTTACAATACAGATATTCTTGAGATGTGACAGTCCAAAACATATATACAACACTTGATAGGACAAATTTACAGTGGCGAGGTCTTACAAAGTAAATAAAGAAAGCTAGCACAACAACAATATCTTCCAAGGTTGATCTTGACTAGCACTCAAAATGAATCCGAATTTATCCTGAAAAAATGTTTACCATAGTTTGATGAGTTTGGCTACTCAGTAAGTGATCATCATAATCCTAAAAATAATCATGGTTGGAAGATATCAATATTTTCCAAATGGAGATATATTAACAGAAATGCATCAACAGTTTCACTTTCAATAAATGCATAATTAAGTATAATCCGAATAATTGAAATGCATATAACACTTTAACGGTAGTACATAATTCAAAGGATTTCACAAAATACCCTACCGACGTCCCAAGTAGGTCACCTATATACCCCATCAGCGTCCTGATGGGTCCACTTAATCCCTATTGGCGTCCCAGATAGGTCCACTTAATCCCTGCAAGTCTACTTATACCTCACCGGCGTACCGGATGAGTCCACTTAATCCTTACCGGTGTCCCGGATAGGTCCACTTATACCTCACCGGCGAACTGGATGAGTCCACTTGCATACTTAAATTATTTCTAAATCTCTTTAAACATTCGAAAGCAGCAATATCATGTACTCAACATATCACTGGAATCATTAATATGAATCTCACAGAAACCATTAATAACATTTCAAAAATAACCAATCAAATATTTTGGGCTCAAATTTAGAAAGGTAGCAGTTCGTAAAGACATTCTAGCATAATTGCCAATTTAATATGTATAGAAAAACTCTTATAAAAATTCAAGAATACGGAATTATCACAATTTATGGGATATCAATTGACAAATGAACATTTCACAGACAATGCTATAATCAAATGCAAAAATATCAGTTTTCAAATAATAAGGCAGTCATTTGCACATGAAATTTACGATGTCTAAATATTAAAAAACAGTAGAAAGAATTCTCGCAATTTTACTAACAGCAGAAATATTACATTTATTTTTAATAATTTTACAGTATCTAAAATTTTCTAACAATAGACAAGAAAAATAAATAAATTTATTTTTCTAAGAATTTACAGCATTTAAAATTTCTAACATCGATAAATATCACAATTTTTATTAAAAAGATTATTTTTCAAGATAATGAGGTCGCGTGCACATAAAATTTATCGCACCTAAAATTCATGATAATATGTAGCAATAATTATTTCATTTTATTTTTAAAAAGAATGGATTATTTTTCGAGACAATAAGGTCACTTACACACAAAACTTATAAAATAAAGATCTTAGACGGAAATATCACTATTTATTAAAAACAAACTATTTTTCAAGAAGACGATGTCACTTACCTAAAATATTTTGTGAGAGAGCTTCCGATAAAAATTTGGCTAGAGAGAGAAAGAGAGAGAGAGAAACCTCGCCTCTAGTATTTAAACTCTTACGACACCTTATAATAATATTTTATTAAGTTACACCTCATGCACGAGGTGTAACGTTTATATGACCTCTTATACACTTGAAGCCCACGTCCACTGGACGTGACAAGGCAGCAGCAAACAAACGAACTCAAACTAAAAGCTTTGAAAATGGTGATGGTCCCTAAGGACTATTATGCTCATATGAACCATCACTTATTAAAAGTTTATTTATTTATTTATTTATTTTTTTGAAAGTTTAAGATTGTCATACTAGCATTGCTAAGAAATCCCCACATGAATTTTGATTGCTACCAACTACCTTAGCAAAATTGAAGTGGCCGTCCCTCTCTCTTTTAACCCTTCGTTATATAATAAAATTTGGGATTGTATACGCTGAGGTCACAATTACTCATATCTATTAGATGTCAAATTGAATGGCTAAGGGTGTATCACGAATTCGAGAAAATTTGTTTGAACTTCGATTCTAGTCAATAATATGCTTTTAACCACCCGATTTCAAACCTAAAGGACAATAGTAATTGTGACCTCCTTATGCTAAAAGTAAATGGGTGCTTTATACACATTTTCATAAAAATTTCCATTTTTGCCCACTTGCTAAAATTTGGGCTCTATTTTTTTGAGATAAATTATTTTGGGGAAATTATCAGAAATATACCTGAAAATTCGCCTATTTGGAAAATAACCTTCAACTTTCATAAATCTCGTCCACATATTTTTTCCTCAATTTTGACATTTTTGATCAAAATAGCTTTCATGGTACTTGTATTACTGTAATGACTACCGCATTACAGTACTCTAAGTACCGTAATGACCAGGCTAAGCATTACTGTACTTTAAAGTCCGTAATGTTAACTGGGTCTCTTTCTCCCTCATTTGCCACATTTCAATAGACTTTTCTTTTGAAGTAAGAAATCTTCCCCCTTTTTTTTTTTTGAGCAAATTTCAAAAGTACTTTGAAGCATTTCAACCAATTTGAAATTTGAGCATTATGGCATGCTTATGGTCTTTAAGGTACCGTAATGCCTGGAAATTTGAGCATTACGGTCTTTAAAGTATCATAATGCTTAGCCTTGCCATTACGGTACTTAAAAGACCGTAAGTCCTGAAATACTATTGAAATTTGAGCATTACCGTCTTTAAAGTACCATAATGCTTTAGGTTGATCATTATGGTATTTAAAATACCGTAATGCTTATCTTGGTCATTACGACACTTAAAGTATCGTAATACGGTAGCCATTACGGTAATATGACTACCGTGAAAGCTATTTGGATTAGAAAAATCAAACTTGAAGAAACAATGCGTAAATGAGGTTTATAAAAAGTTGAGAATTTTTTTTTCAATTAGACTAAAAGTGAAGTATATTTCTGATAATATTTTATTATTCCAAATCTCTATATCTTCACATGCTCGAACCGTATGTTAGGCCTTCAAAGAATAAAAAAGTCCTTTTTCTTTGCTCCATACAACAAATAAAGCGGAAAATGGCATGAGAAACATAAATATAAGCCAAAAAAAAATACGTCCATGTTACATTTTCCTTGCTCCATACAACAAACAAAGCGGGAAATGACATGAGAATCTAAATATAAGCGAAAAGGAAAGGCGCCTATGTTTCTCTCTCCACCTCCTCTCTCTGTCTCTCTCCTCTTAAACCCTAATTAAAAATGGATATAGTGAGAGAGCGTAACTTCAGAAGCTTGAAGATTTTAGTGTCGGGCTTGGTTTTAATATACAATTGGTTTTGGGTATGGTTTGTAGAGGGCCGAGGTTCTAAACAATCAAAGTTAAGGCATTTTTAAATAATGTCAAGAAATACGTAATTTTAGAAATCTTGGTGAAAGTCTTGAAATATATTTTATTTTTAATTATAAAATTTAAAGCTTAAAAAATAGTGTAGATCCAACATATATATAATATTTTTAAAATCTTAAAAATTGACCATCCAAAAATAAATTATAAAATACATTATTTCAAAAACTTAGAATTTCATTTTTGCATGTCCATCATTTTGAGGTCGAGGTAAGACAATTTGACATCAAAACAACACCTCTTAGAATTTTTGAGGTGCGCACTGATTGTTTAGAGTCTCGGCTCACTATAAAACTTTTCCCATTGGGTTTAGGTTTTGATTTTCACTCCTCTCACGTGCCATTACACAGTTGCCCTTTTCTTTGCTGGTTCTCGTCAAAAGCCAGCCCCTCTCCGTCTCTCTCAACTATCTCCTTTTGGCCTCTCTCTCTCTCTCTCTCTGTCTCTTAACTCTCTCTCTTCTGTCTCAATATCTCGGAGCCAAAAACCCTAGAGAGCCTGTGAAAACATAGAGTTCAACACTCTATCACTCAAATGACGAAGCCATAGGAACTCAGTAAACTGTAAAATTTGTGGGACTAATGATACGTGTAGCATGAAACCCCTAGAAATCCTGCAAAGGCAGAACCTCTGAAACCCTAGAAAACTGTTTTGAACATGGCGTCCAAGATTGGAATGGCGGGTGGGCTTCCTGAGCGCAGAGTTCGGCCTATTTGGGATGCTGTTGATTCGCGCCAGTATAAGAACGCTATGAAGCTTGTCACTACTTTGCTGGGAAAATTCCCTAACTCGCCTTATGCTCTGGTTTGTGTTCGGAATACTATTCTGTCTCATGGTTTCTGAATTAGGTTGATTGTTGTCACATTGACTTGTGAATTCTTCGAACGTGCTCGTTTTAGTTTAGTCATGCGTGGCTGTGTCCGTGGATTGAATTATATTTATTGTTTTGTGGATCAATGGTTTGAATGAGCGTTAGTGCTCGAATGTGCACTATGCTTATGAGTATCAACACTTGGATTCTGAAATGTGATCCCAAAGCAATTGGCAGTTCAATGTTGGAGAATCCCTTTTTTCTTATTGATGATGACTCGTTTAAAGAGTAAAGATGGTATACTTGTAACTTTGTATAAAATCCGTTTAGAAACCCCAAAAATGTTTGCTACGCTCATTTTTAATTTTGAAAAAAATTCTATTTCAGGTTTGGAATAACAGAAAGGTTTGTATGGTTGTTCTGGAAGAGACTGATGAGATCAGCAACATGTTCCATATATCATTTTGCATGGATTGACAGATGCATACGAGGTTGTTGAGTGTTTATATGGAGAGTAGGTTTTTAGAGGAGGGAGAACTATTGGGAACTTTATTCCTCTTCACTGATACTTGTATACGAAAATTTAGTTATTAAGGTATGTCAAATAAAAGTGGATCATATCTACTCATTTAAGTGAAATTTTGCATGGTTTCATGATTGTCGGTGGTAGTATGTTAGTCATCTTTGAAGAATTTCACATCATTGTGAAATTGATTTTATGAGCATCATGTTCTATTGGTAATGGATTTGTTTCATTTGTTGGACCATCATGGCAGCCTGTTATCTACTATTTCATCATTATGACTGACATTTCCTTTTTGATAAGGAATGATTATTATCGCTAATGATTATTTTCTTTATCTTTTCTGGTTTTTCATATGATATAACTGATTTCGATGGGTGTGCTTCTTATCCGAGGATAAGTTGTATTTAATAATCTCAGAAACTTGACCTGCATGCAAATGATATTTTGAGCTGGTGTACCTTCATGCTATAATTCTTCTGAACTTCTTGATATTCTGTTTCTCTTGTGCTATAATGAATGAGTGCTCTTAGGTCGATCTGTTTATTTTTTCAGGCACTGAAGGCTCTTATTTTGGAGAGAATGGGAAAGCCTGATGAGGCCTTATCTGTTTGCCTTGATGCAAAAGATCACCTGTATTCAGATGATATTGGTCAAATGGATGACTTGACTCTCAGTACTCTACAGCTTGTTTTCCAACGACTTGACCGCTGTTTGTTTTCTTCCCTTCTTCAAATTTTGTTTTTCAGTTCTTTCATTTTGCAACCTTATTGCATTTTTTTTTATTGTTTCTGTTGGTTCTATGTCAAACTCAGTGGACCTGGCCACTTCTTGTTATGAATATGTATGTCGAAAATATGGAAACAACCTCGAGCTCATGATGGGGCTCTTCAACTGTTATGTGCGTGAATATTCATTTGTGAAGCAACAACAGGTTGGATAATCTCTGTGGATCACTATTTTTCTTTGGAAGTTTTCTATGATGCTCACCAGCCAATGAAATGATGGGCGGGTAGCAGAAAGAGAATGGACCTTTTATTGGGGTCATGTCCTGTTTTGGTGGGTCCCATTCTTTCTCCATTACTATCCATCATTTTCTTGGGGGGTTGATGACTTAATGGTTGATGAGTACAGAAGTCCATTGGATTATAGTATCCTTGTCACTTCTCTTTTCATCTTATGTGTGTTCATTGGTCTCATCACTTGCATTTTTCCATCATTGAGGTTCTCTTTTTTCACATGGTTGCTGGTTTTTTTTTTCACAGACAGCCATCAAAATGTATAAGCTTGTTGGCGAAGAGAGGTTTTTGCTTTGGGCTGTTTGTAGTATTCAATTACAGGTGCCTTTACCTTAATTTTGATGTAGTATTTTTTTTTTCCCGTTAATTATGTGTTTATCCATATGGCTCTATGCAAATGAACGGATTAGCAGTCTATGCTGTTTTTTCTATTTCCATTATGTGTTTTTCATGGCATGATACTTCTTTGTATGACTCATGATCATTCCTTTGGATCTTTCCTTTTAAATTTTAAGTGTTCTTTTCTATGATCGACAAGCCTTAGATTTTGTGTGTTGCAATTATTTTGATTGGTGATTACTGTTTTCCTTTAAATAGAAGATACAATATCTATAAATAAGTAGGGGAAGTAAGATTGGATGCTGGGAGTTCATCGACAGCATGGTAAAGGATTAGAAGTACCAACCACCAAATCGATACAACTTATTCCCTCAATAACGTGAGTTGGCTGACTCATTAACCCTCATGACATACTTGAAATAAAGGGTGGTATGGGTTTGGAAAGCTTAAAGATATCTTTCAGAATGCTCTCCAAGTGTAATGGAGGAGGAGACTATGTTGTTCCTACCTAATGTCATTCAGGAAGTAAACCCCTACATGCACCTTAAAAGTAGAAAAAAAAGAAAAGCATACTCACCTTCTAGTATTGTTGCACTGGAATAGATTGAATAGGGACCTTATAAATGTCAGCATGGATTGATCCTCCACTTCATGAGAATCATGATTGCCCAATGGGTTAGGAAAAGCCATGTCCTTGAAGTTCCTCAAGTTTTCCCCATTCTGCTTGTGTTAAGTTTGCCAACTGTTCTTCTATTAGTGTCGAGTTTCAACAAGTCCAACAGTCATGGATGCTGCCACCCATGGGGCCATAGGGGAATGGACTTGTTAATGGTGGCTACCCTCCAATTCTCTATGAGGTTGGGAATTATGATCTTGTAAAATTCTTCTCTAGTCAAGGTCCACGCAATGTTAAAAAGAGCGCAGGCAGGCACCTAGGTGTTTTGGGGTTCAAAAAAGTGTAGGCGGGCACCTAGGCGTTTTGGGGTTCAAAAAAGTGTAGGGGGGCATGTAGGCTATGTGGCCAGACGCCTCGTGAAATAGAATAAACATAATATTACAGTCACATAACAGGTTTACGGATACAAAGACTCAAAGAGATTGTAAGGCATTAAAATGTTTGAAATCCCAAATGTCATTGTAGAAAACTAGAAGTCTAGAAATCATACACAAAGTCAACAAGGCAAAAACAAAAAACAAATACATGTCACATGTCACCACCCCAATTCTCTAATGTCAACTAAACAACTCTATGGCATCACCACACGTGGTGGTCAAGTGGATCCAAAGGAGCATCTGATGATCAGAGTCATTGCCCTCCTCAACATAGTGAGCGTCATCCCTTGTCTCCTGTGAATCTACTTCTTCCTCTTCATTATCCTCTCTTGCTGTCATCACCCTCTTCCTCTTCTTCGCCATGGCCTTCCCTTGCTGGACCTTCTCCTTCCCGTTCCTTTGTCTCTGAGATTGAGTCAGAGTGGTACGAACAAGGGGGCATTGTTGTCCTAGCAGCCTCACGAACTTGGCCCTAGGTCAAGCCCTCTCCAGGGAATACCTCATCATCATCGGCATCAACCAGCCACTCACATGTATCATTAATGTCAATAGCTTCAATAACCTACCTTTCATTGTACTCCAGTTGTCAATGGCGCTCTTGCAACTTCTGGTTCTATTGAACAAAGATTAAGTTGTTCAGTCGTTTTTGCTCTAGTTTGTTCCTCTTCTTTGTATGCACCTAATAGAAAAAAACTCACGTAGTTACTAACTTCCTAACTAAGTACTAAGTACGTATGAAATTAACTATTAAGTAAAGGAAAAAGTTTATAAAGGTTGCAACCTTAAAGTGTAGAATTACATATGCACCTCAAAAGTCTATCGGAAAAGGTTATTTTAATGTTGAAAAACCCTCTAATTCATCATCTCGACATCGGGATGTATGAATATGAAAAAAAAAAGATTTTGAGTCCCAGAAATAGTGCATCTTGTAACACATTATCTAGACCGTTTGGTTTGATGACTGGCCAAGTGATCCAGTCATGATGACATTACTGATAATATTCATTCATTTTATCAAAAATTTTCTTATGCTTTCTATTGGTAATTTAGACAATTTACATACTTTTTGATAAATATTTTGAATAGTTTGACAAAATGAATTCTCTAAAAAAAAAACAATTTCCATAATGAGTTAATGATAGCATAACGTAGTTAGTCATTTCTCTAATTCATTCTAATTAAAGTCTTGATGGAGATCAAAGCACAAGTAGCCACGAGTATCTTTTATGGGAGCGACAAATTCCTCTTAATTTTTGCTCATATTTGGAGGATGAAAACCCTTGGAGGGCTTCCAAGAAGAACAAGAAATAGTTTTAGTGCTTTTCTAGTTTTTTAAGGCTATTTCAGATTTATTTATTTATTTCATTGCTGGATCAGTTATGGACTTTTTAGATATTTTAATTAAAGATGGGGAGTTTAGTTTCAAGTTATATTTAAGTTTGGACCTTTTGGTCAAAAAGTTAAATTTTATGGATAAATATTGTCCAAAAGAACAGTTTTTCAATATAAATGAGGGCATGGATGGGCTGGAGATTTATTCATGTATTCCTCTTTAAGAAAAGAAAGACTTTGTCTTGTAAAAGAAGCCTAAGGCTTGAGCCATAGGTGGGAGAAAGCCTTAGGATTTCTCCAAAAGTGCTTATGTCAAAGTGCTTGTTTGCTGAATTTCTATATTTCTTAAGTTCTCCTGCATCAAGTGGTATCAGAGCATGGTTTGAGGATGGCTGTAGATTGCGATGGCTTATCGTGGAGGTCTTAGTTGTGGGGATGCTTATCTGATCCAACTGCACAAGGAAATCAACAACTTGACAGAAAGGGTTACAGAGCAATTGCTGTGTAAGCGGGGCTAGCAACAGCGTGCCCTAAATGAAGAGGAATCTATAGGGATAGATCCAAATCATAAGGTTTTTTATGGAGAATGGCGCGAATCAAAGTTTGACTTAGAGTTGGAGCGGAATGATGAGGCTGCCTTCAACCACCCGTCCTATGTACGCGCCTTGTGTTCTGGAGGCTCATGTTCGGGAAAATAAATCATGGGATTTAGTTAATCTGCATGATTTGAAGAATAGAGTTGATCTTGGTGTAGGTCATATTGAAAATCAGTAGGTTGTTGATTAGGATCTGCCACCAATTTTTGATACATACTTAGATGACGAACAAGATTTTGGAAGAGATCTAATCTATGATGGTGATCAAAATTTCGTGGGTGAACTGATCTTTGACGAAGAAAAAGATGAAGATCTGGAACATTTAGGAGGTTTAGGGCACTGGAATCAGAATAGCGCAGTGGAAGTATGATTGACTCAAACTCTGCAAATTGTGGCCCTGAATTTCAGAAAGTGATCAACTAGATGATGAGAAAACCTCCAAAGGCCAAAGAATTGAGTTTGGAGTATCGTACATGATTTTCAATGGGAGTTCACGAATAATTGAATTTGATAAATTTGCAGGGATTCTTCATTATCCATATCAGAACCCATTTCTTGAGGAATATTTTTTACCTCGAATAATATTTGAGCCGACAAAAAAAGAAGAAGGTCAAAGAACGTTTTTTGATGTTAAGTTCATCTTAACACACTTCAAAACTCGAGGACGAGTTTTCTCCAACAAGGGGAGAATGATGGAGGGCAAAATTCTTCTTCTTTTGTATTTTTATTCAATTTCAATGATGTGTATTGTAGTTTTAGTTATAGGGTTTATTTTTAGGGTTTTTATTTTTTTATTTACTATTCACATATACTATTCATGGTACTGTTCATATGTTACTGTTCACGCATTACTATTCACATGGAGACTTCAGACATCTTCAACATTACTAATCTATAAGAGTATTGTGGTATGGAGGTGCATGAAGATGAAGATGTGAACTCGAAGGCGAGTTCTCCTCAACCTGGGGAGAATGATGGAGATCAGAGCACAAGTAGCCATGACTATCTTTTATGGGAACAACATATTCTTCCTAATTTTTGTTCATATTTGGAGAACGAGAAGAGCAAGAAATAGTTTTAGTATTTTTTTTTTAGTTTTTAAGGGCTATTTCAAATTTTATTTATTTATTTATTTCATTGCTAGACCAGTTAGGGACTTTTTAGATATTTTAATTAAAGATAGGGAGTTTAGTTTCAAATTATATTTAAGTTAGGACCTTTTGGTCAAAAGTTAAACTGCATGAACAAATATTGTCCAAAACAATAAATTTTCAATGTAAATAAGGGCATGGATGAGCTGGAGATTCATTCAGGGTATTCCTCTTTAAGAAAAGAAAGACTTTGTCTTGTAAAAGAAGCCTAAAGCTTGAGCCATAGGTGGGAGAAAACCTTAAGGTTTCTCCAAAAGTGCTTGTGTCACGGTGCTTTCTTGCCGAATTTCTATGTTTCTTCAAGTTTTCCTACATCAAGTCACCTTTTGTCAAAAACAAAAAAGCATTACATTTTGAATATTTTGTATGGTACCCAAGTTGGCTATGTTTATTTAAGTTAGCAATCAAAAGAAAAGTCTCTGTTCATTAAACTCAAGTTGGTGCTTCGGTAGGTCTTCTGTGGAGATGGGGGAGAGAAGCTCCTCTCCTTAGCTGAAGCTTTACTAAAGAAGCATATCTCGTCTCACGACTTGCATGAACCAGAAGGTACCAACCTCCTTGATTTTGCATCTATTTATGCTTGAAGATGAAGGTCAGTGATGTTTGAAGCAGTCTTTTACATTTCTCAAAATTTAACTTCTTATTGTAACTCTTGATTTGCAGCCTTTCTTGTGTATATTTCTGTACTGGAAGAGCAACGGAAGTATGGTGAAGCTTTGGAAGTTCTTTCTGGAAAGTTAGGGTCTCTTATAAGTTTTGAAGTGGATAGGCTACGCATGCAGGTAATCTTTCTTCTTGTGATTTATCTGTCAGTTTTCACAGTGCCTCCCTTGTCTCATTAATTCTGCTTTTCACAAATATACGTTTGATAAACTTTTTTCAAGCTCTGGATATTTAATTCCACAATTAGTTGTACTAGTTTTGAAGTCCCCTTTTTATAATTAATTAACTTTAGAAAATGTTTCTAATATGCGGCTAAAATACTGGTAGTCCAAATTTTTCGCAGCTTTGAAACTTGTTGATGTTCTTTCAAGTATCTGTTATGTCAATTAATAGTATTTGCATTATGTTTCCTTAGTGTTGATTGTGCTATTGCATTATTTTGTTAAGATCCAGTTTAAGGTTGTCAATTGCTTCCTAGTTTAAGGGGTAGCAATACTTTTATTAGTGTTATTAAGTCTTCTTTATTTTGTTGTTATTTGACTGTAAGTTGACAGGGGAAGCTCCTTGCCTTTTCATGTGATTATGCTGCTGCTGCTGACACTTTCGAGAAAATTCTAGAATCTTGGTATGTTCACAATAATAATAGCTCCCCCAGGACTTTAATGGCTTCCCTAGGATTCTTCAATTGGATCATGCTTATATACTTGAATATTACTATGCTGAGTTGCAAGTTCATTAAATAACTTAAGAATGAGAACCTGCTTCATTTTGCATTCATTTAGTTATTTTTAGTTTTCTTGTTATAAATGATTTTTTTCCATGAGAAGTATGGTAACCTGACTTGATTTAAACTGATTGCAACACTGCATGATCTTGAATTTTCTGGCAGTTCATCTTATCTGTTCGAAGTATGCTGAATGATTGGCAGTCATTATGAGGTCAATTTTTATTTTTTAGAAGAGACTTAATGATTTTCTTAATGGAATACTCTTGCTTTGATGTGAGTATGACTGCTTTGTCTTCTGTAGTTCATTGAAAAGCATGAGGTGGTCTGAAACGAGGAAAAGAAGGGGGTTTGTTGGCCATATTTATTTTCTTTTTAAAAATTTTCAATTTTTTTTAGATGCAATCCATACAATGAAACAATTAATCATCAGTAAGTAGCAATCAGCTGATATCAATGTTTCCAAAAACGGTCCACCCAACGCCTAGGCGCCCAAGACCCTATGCAAAACGCGCCTAGGCTTAGGCGGCCCGTTTTGGGCAAGATGTACCTGGGCGGGCGCCCAGGGACATGGGTTTTTTATTTTTATTTTTAAAGATACCCATAATGGCAAAGGGGGTAATTTTGACCCCAAAAATGTTTAAATAGGTTATGGGGGCTATTTTCAACCCCCAAAGTTAAAAGAATAATTCCATAAACCATCATTCTCTTAGCTATGCCTATTTTTAAGAATCAAAAGCATTTTTTGTGGTTTGAAGAAGCTTCCTAGACTTTTTCATTTATGTTGGAATATGCCAATTTTTGAGAATCAAAAGTATTTTTTGTGGTTTGAAGAAGTTTCTTAAAATTTTGCACTTATTATGGAATATGGAGAGTTGGAGACTATATTACCAATACATATCCTATTTGATTTTTTAAATTTTGTATGGTTTGAATTTTGAAATTTTGAACAAGTTTATTCTCAACATGCGATATGC